ACACATGCCCAAAGACCTTTTTTACACCCCCAACCCCCTTTTAACAGTAATTGCTCAAAGTTTGAAGTCAAATTGCCTTCTCTTTCAAGGCTAGAATCACCTGATATTGTTTCTCATAGTTACAGTAAAAACACATTCCCTCTCCCCACCATGAGAAAGAGGAAAAACAAAATCTCAGCCTTTCTGATATAGTACATGTAGTATGGTTGAACACATTTTTGTCTTGGCTCCCCCAGCCCCCCACCCCGAAAGAAAGTAATGTGGGTAATGTAGCTGTCATCCATGCCCCAAAAAGTTCACCTCTGCTCTGCAAAGTTTCTTGCATTTGAGATCAGCTTCACTGAGTTTTGCTGTGGGTGTCTGTTCAGATTAGGGAAACAGGTTTTCATAATATGAGCTGCTGCTGGTTAGTGGGTTGGCCAGTTTTATACTTACAGACTGATTTGGAAATTCAATTATTGTTGAAGATATACCGATCTGCTATTAAACTGGTGCAGAGTAATTACACTGTTCATAATTTTTCAGCAGCGTAGTATTTGTTCAGTCTTCCAATTTTTCATAACTGAAGTACTCCAATATAAGGGTTGTGCCAAACCCTGCCTTGAAAGATTTTGTTTTCCTTGGAAATGAGACTTTTGCTTTTCTATTTAATTCTCAAGGGCATTTTTCCCTTAATTTAATTGATAGCCTTTTTGAGTTTCCTTTATTGCTGGAGGTGGCAACATCTGAAACTACTGGCTTTTTATTTCTACTGCATACACATCTTTCCAGTATTTCAAAGTTTTCCTGACTTCTAAATATGAAAAAGTCCAGAGGAAGGATTTCCCTTTGACCTTTCCCCTTGATATTTAATTAATATGTCAGAAACCATAGAGGCTGCAGGCTGCTGAAGAGTTGTAGAGTGACTCACGCAGGATGTTCACATATACTTCATGGACATGTTGTAATTAAACCAGTTCACGATTCTCTGGTATCGTGAATAGGGGGGAAAAAAAGGTTGAAAGAGCAATAGGACTACATAGTACAGAAAGAGAGTTATCCTCTGTGTCTATTTTCTACGGATTTGGAGAACTGGTGGTTGTTAGGAACATGATGTTACCTTAAAGCAAGAATTCTTAAAATGTGTAGTAATGCAATCATCAAAAACTTGAACAGCTGGATATGACTTCCCCAGGATTTAATTATTTCATTTTAAGGCTTTAGGGTTGGGCAAGAAATACATATGCCACATCCTTTAATTAATTTAATTCAGTTAATTAATTAAATACAGTTTAATCCTTATATCACAAAGATTCTCCAGCTTAGTGGTTCCCTGTAGAAGCTCTGTGTACTCTGGGCTCATACAGCCAAAATGAGGAGTAAAGCCCAAAGCAAGTTTTGCAAATGTTCTCCGTTTGTTCGTACAAACCTGGCTAGAATTTTAAAATCTTGGACATATATCATCTAAATTATTTGGAACAACCATGGAGTCCTAATGCTGAATTTGAATTCCCCCTACATTAAAGCATGAATGTCTGTTACTAGGGCTATGCAGTGCTTTAGATTTGATAGTAAAAAGGTGTTTGGAGTGTAAGGTTTACCCTGTTCATCTCAGAGAAACTCTTGTGACGTGTGTTCAGCAAGGAAGTTTACTCAAGTGTAACTTAAGTAAGTACAGACAAAGCCAGGATTGGCTTGGCACATTATACAGTACAATTGATAGTTCCCCCATTCCCGTGCTTAGCCCTTGTTGCTTGGTTACAGATTACCTGCAGTAATCCCCCCCTTCACTCAAATGGCATATTCAGTCCAGTTCTTTTGTGTTCTTGATTGCTTTCTATCGATGGCGTTGTTGTTGTATTCATTGGGTCTTTCTGTTGCTTGCAAAGCCGGGAGTTCCCAATCAAGTGCTGATTGCTTTACCTCTAATCCGCTGCTCTCCCCTTTGTCTGCAGCGCTCAAGGCAATTTGGCGTTGACACAAAGTATCTGCTTGCAGTTTAGTAAACCGGTCCCAGCTGGCCCATTAATCAGTTCGCGGTTTCTCACTTCCCCTTTCCTTGCTAGCGCTTGGGCGGTGAAACTGACTAAGTGTGGCTGGGCAAGTCCCTAGCCATGCCGCGCTGGCTGAATCTGACATGGAGCATATTGGTACCTGTTGGCAATGCCTTAAGCCAAACACTTCTCTGCTTGGGATTTCAGCATTATTGAGGACAGGAGCCACATTATCCCATGAAAAGATAAAGCTGCTTTCAGGAATTGCAGGAAGGTACCACATTCCAATTCCCAAATTTGCCAAAGTATTGTTTGACCTTTGAACTCAAACCCCCATATAGCCTAATGCATACGTCCAGGTGTTGTTGAACCAAAATTCCAAACAGTCCATTCAACATAGTCAGTTGTAGGGGTTAGTGGGCGATGTAATTTAGAGAGCTATACATTGGCATAAATGGCTTAAACTGAAGTCTTTCTAATTATTAAACTTATTTGAATGTCTACATTTTCTAAAGCGATCCCTTTCACCCTACATTTGTTACATTACTGTCATGTTTGGAACACATTCAAACAAATATTTCAATATCTACTTGGTTGTCCTGATAGCTATTCTTAATATCGTTTAACGACCTAAAATGGGTATTTATAAGATCAAAACTCAAGTATTGACATAGCTTTTGAATGTTTAGATAATTATTTCTCCAATTCATTGATACGAATTTCCCCATTGCATTTTCATTTCATTAACAATAAAGAAGAGAAATGGGGAAAACTTTGTTAAATGGATTAAATCAATATATATACCACAAACCACAAAAGTAATTGTTAATGGAGACTTTACTAAATCATGTGAAATTGAGAAAGGTACGAGACAAGGATGCCCCTTGTCTCCATTATTATTTATATTGGTTTTAGAAGTATTACTTAGAGATATTAGTCAAGATGACAACATTTTGGGAATAAGAGTTAAAAAAAGAAGAATATAAGTTAAGAGCCTTTGCTGATGACCTACTCATTACTTTAGAAAACCCACTGGAGGGGGTCGAATCGTTAATGCAAAAATTGAGAGACTTTGGGTCGCTAGCAGGGTTCAAACATACAAAAAACAATGGTTTTAACTAAAAATATGGATTATTATCAACAGAAGAAACTGAATGAAATAACTGGATTTACAATAGAGGAAAAAATAAAATACCTGGGAGTATATTTGACATCTAAGAATGCTGGTTTATTTCAGAATAATTATGTTCCACTCTGGGCAGATATTAAAAAAGATTTAGACCAATGGGAAAAGTTACAATTGTCATTATTAGGAAGAATATTGGTGATTAAAATGAATATTTTGCCATGAATCTTATATCTTTTCTAGACAATTCCAATATTGACTTCAGAAGCACCCTTTAAACAATGGCAACGCGACATTTCTAA